AAGGGGGCCACTCTGCAAGACTCTGATTTAATAGGGATTCTGTAGACTCTAATGTAAGATGGTTTCACTCTGGGGACACTGATGTAAGGGAGGACTCTGATGTGAGCGTGGCACTCATCCTGACTGCTACACTCCATATGTTGTTTTGCTTTTTACTTATTCTGACCCATGTACTCTGTACATCTTGCATACTGTAGATATACCTGACCAAGGTGTTCATTTTCTCAACAGTTGCTGGTTTTAATGGAGTTTTTCTTTAACTAGTTGCCGACCGCAGATAGCCGAATGACGGCTACACTGCGGCCGGCCAGTTCTGAGTGGACGTCACATGACATCCTCCCAGAACGCGCTCTCCAGGGGGCGCGCACCCAGCGATCTCCGTGATCGCTGTGTCCTACGGACACAGCTGATCACGTGATGTGGTAAAAGGCCAATCACAGCGGCCTTTTACCACGTGATCAGCGGTGTCCAATGACACGCTGATCAGAGGGAAATGCAAGTGTCGGTTCTCGGCTGCACTTTCCTCATGCTGTCAGATCGTGAGGAAAGTACTGCCGAGAACCTGCAGTTGTCAGAGCGGGGATCGGCACCGATCATCAGGGCACTGATGATCAGTGCCCTGATGATCGGTGCCCAGCAGTGCCATCCGCAAGTTCCGCCCACCTGTGCCCAGCAGTGCGCCCACTAGCTCCGCCCACCTGTGCCCAGCAGATCACCCACCTGTGCCCAGCAGTGCACCCACCTGTGGGCAGCAGTGCACCCACCTGTGCCACTTTGCAGTGTCACACACCTGTGCCCAGCAGTGCCACCCACCTGTGCCCACCCACCTGTGCCCACCAGTGCCACCCACCTGTGCCCACCCACCAGTGCTGCCCACCAGTGCCACCCACCAGTGCAGCCCAGCAGTGCTGCCAGTCAGTGCCACCAGTCAGTGCCCAGGGGTTGTGCCAGTCAGTGCCCAGCAGTGATGCCAGTCAGTGCCGTCTATCAGTACCCATCATCAGTGTCACCTATCAGTGCCGCCTATAAGTGCTGCATATTAGTGCATATCCGTGACACCTCATTAGTGCTGTCTATCAGTGCCGCCTATCCGTGTCACCTCATTAGTACTGCCTATCAGTGCCCTTTAGTGCTGCCTATCAGTGCCCATCAGTGCTGCCTATTTAGTGCCCATCAGTGCTGCCTCATCAACGCACATCAGTGAAGGAGAAAAAATACCTGTTTGAAAAATTTTATAATAGAAACGAAACTTTTTTTTTTTTTTCAAATTTTTTGCAATTTTTTTATTTATAGCGCAAAAAGTAAAGTGCCCAGTGGCGATTAAATGCCACCAAAAGAAAGCTCTATTTGTGAGAAAAAAATGATCAAAATTTCATATGGGTACAATGTTGCATGACCGCGCAATTGTCAATCAAAGTGCGGCAGCGCTGAAAGCTGAAAATTGGCCTGGTAAATAAGGGGGTATAAGTGCCTGGTAGGCAAGTGGTTAAGGTAGGCTCAGTAAGGCAGCCCATACATTAGTAATTTTTTTTGTTCAACAATGTGTTGAACAAAAAAAAATTACTCAATTCTCTCATCCACAAATTCGATGTGAATGGAGAATCACTCCCGCTGAGGTAATGTGTTCTGACAGTAAAGAGACTTCAGTGCCGCCAGAATACACTGATCAGTGCTGCCAGCTATAACCGACGGTGCTAATCCTGCAGAAATTTTCCTAGAGGCTATTTGTACAGAAGTTGATCTATAGATAGACTTATGTACAACCAGCCTGTCCATACATTGATCAAAATTCAACTGGTTCCTACTGAAACAGATTAATTTTGATCCATGTGTGGGCGCCTAAGGCAAAAATATCCTTTTTGTGTGCATAAAAACAAATGAAATGGAAACAATTAATAAAACAAAAAATGTTCCTTTGTCCTGAGGTTTATCTGTGTCTTTGAGACTGTCGTTTGTGGCACAGAATTTAGTATTTTCTGGGTACGAGGACTGTGGTATAGGTGTGCATTGTATACAGCAGGCACAGATTCTGTTCAATCTCCCTTTAAGACCCTCCCACTGGCCAGCCACACATCTTTTTTTCTTTTCTTTCTCAGGGTCTTGCATACTCCCAGTCTTTCTCACAGTTTGTCATCTTGTTATTACTTTTTAATTGTAAAACAATAAGATTACTTGTTATGAATATTGTTAACACGTTGTTTATAATGTTTAGAGGCTTCAATTCCCTTTAAAAATATATTATATGTCCTGTACACTACCTACAAATTACTGACTCCTGCAATGCACTACCATACTGACTCCTGTCCTCCACCCTGCTGACCGCCTGTTCTCTGCTCTGCTGACCGTCCTTCTTCTGCCCTGCTGACCCCCTTTATGCTGCCCTACAAACTGCTTTTCCCTGCCCTTTGCTCTGCTAACCCCTGTCCTCTGCCCTGCTGACTCCCTGTACACTCCGCTACTGATTCCTGTTTTTGCAACCTGCCCTGCTGACCTCCTATTCTCTGCCCCCCTGACATTTTTTACTGCTCCCCCATATCAGACTGGCTATATCCAGCCCTGTCCCTTAACCTTTAAAAAATCCTGTCCATTTTGTTGTTGAATCTGGACACCAGAGAATCCTCATCCAACATGTGAAAGATGATGTGGGAAAGAACACGTGTTTCCTCCCTATTGAGAATCAAGTCCACTTCTTGGATGAAGCAACTTCTGGAACCTCCTGGACGGTATATATAGGCCACTCCCGTAACAGTTTTCTGACTGGACTCTGATTGGATGACCTAACAGCTGGGAGCTTCAGCACTGGATGGACAACTGAATTGCCCTCTTTTCTAGGATGTTGTTGATGGAAAACCAAGTTTCCTCTGACAACCTTGCCCCAACAGGGCATCCAGGACTCCTTCTCAGTATGATAGTCTGGTAACCATTGTGAGAACCTTTTAGAGTAAAAAGGTTTCCCCGACTCCCAAGCTGGGCCTGGAAATTCCCCACACCAGACCCCTACAGGTCATATGCATGTGGTAGTCTCAAGGGACCTGCATGCTGACATGAATCAAAGGCTGACCCTGGGAGCAAAGGTACAGCACCCTACGGCTCATTTACACGACACACTACATGCCAAGGTGAGCACTCACGCAGGATCCACTGCCCAAAGTTTCACAACAGACCAGCCATGCATTCTCTTCTAGCCAGGGTCTGGGTACGGTCCACCAGGACACAGTCAAGAATTCAACTGATTCAGAAAGCTGCGGAAAGGGAGCAGCGATGCCTATGGAACAGCTAAGAAACCTGATAACAGATTCCTGAGAAAAAAACTATATTTAGGAGGTAAGCTTCTTTCAGTAGAGAGAAGACATCCATCATGTGTGAGAAGTGGGAAGGGATGTCTCTGCAGTTTTGTTTTCTGGTGTGTAGAAGGGTTAGTTTTTCTATCAAGTTTTTTTGCAGTCTGTCTTCTCCTGCCAGGGAGATTTACTCCTCTGTTGGAAAGATGACACATAGTTACCAAGACAGAAACTAAAGGGAAATCATACATTTATGAGTTTTTATGAGAACAAGAATTGAGGAAAAATCTTCCGGAGTGGAGAAATTTCCTGGTGACAACTGTCGAAAAATAGGAATTGTGTCTCTAACAGGCAGTGAAGTGAAATGACCACAGAAGGACACAAACCAAATGATAGGGATTTTATTCCTACCTACTATATGCAAATTTAAAAAAAAAAAGAAAAAAAAAGGGCAAAGTTTGGCTATACATACACCTTAACCAGTGGGCAAACAAGAGTACACATACCAGAAGACCAGCTAAAGAACTAGACAGAGGGATGCAGAGGCACACTCTGGGGTCTGGGTGTTGACACTGGGGGTGTTGCTGCCACCCGACAATTTTTTTTTGTGTTGTACCAAGAGGGGTTGTACTGAACGCATTTGCTGGGAGATGGGATTTAGAGCCTGTAGTCTGCATGCTGTGGCTGAACGCAGCAGTAGAGCGCTAGTGGCCTGTTCTGACTATATGTCAGCCAAACACAGTGTCAGAGCACTTCCCCTACTGTTCCAGGAATGTGCAAGTCAGGGTGGCATCAGGAAGACCCTGCAAGGCAAAAGAGTCATGCTGAAGGTGGAAGCTTCACACAATACACTCTAAAGCTGGTCATAGAAGGGTTGGATCCTGGCCGGTTTAGCAGGGACTGGCCAAGATTTAATCCATCTATAGGCAGGCTCATTGTACCATTGATCAACGTCAGTACAACCAGCTTCTCAGATTGTTTTTTGCATGCGATAAGCCACATAGCTACTGCCAGTAATCGCATGCAATAAATCCAAAGGCTCCCTGCCAGCAGAACACGATATTTCTTTGGGAGGGATTCTTCCGTCCACAAAGTCAGTGATTTTCTTTCCTGCAACCACCATCATCTATGGTTGTTTATGTTTAAAAGACTGCACAAAAGAAGTGCAGGAAACAATGGTATGCTGCTTCTTTTTGTTCACCGAGGGCTTCATAACATTTTTTAATGTAAACTATGCATCCTCTTTCTATCCTATCTAATGTTACCTGTGCATAAAGATTGTTGTAATCTTTTTATTGCACTCTTTGCTACAACTCTTTAGCAATCCCTGGATTGAACGCAGACTGTAAATCAGACTTTTGAAGGTAAAATTGGTTCTTGCACAGTCTGTGTAGATATTATTCCTCATTTGTCTGGAATTCCAGCCCCAACTGGCTGAAATTATAGTTTTTTTTTCTACTGTCTAATATGAGGCAAGAGGAATTATACAGTTTACTTTAAAGGGCGTTCTAGGGAATATGTATAGAAGTATGGAACAATATGACCAAGTCACTATTGTTGCTGAAAAAATGCCTTCTTTAGTACCCCTGATTCAAATGATTCACTTTGTATCACTTTAGGTCTCATGTATGTGTCTGAAATACTCTGTATGGATCAAAAGGCTCGTAATTTATAGAAGTTAGATTATAAGGTTGAAAATTGTACATGGAACTCACTCACGTGTGTCCCACCTCGTGTGCAATGGTGAAAGCTGTTGCTAGGCCAATATCTTCATTGATACTGCAGCTTCTCTCTCTTTCACACATTCCACCCACTGGTGCTAAACCTAAAGAGTAATAGGGAAATTCAAACATTAGTTTTATCCCAGATATGGAAATGATCTTCCTTTACACATTCTTTTAAAAAGAGTACATGCACATTCAATTAGGAATAGAAAAGAAATATATTTTACTTTACGAATATAAAACAGATATCTCACCTAATGTTCCACATGGCTTGTTTTTGTAAATGCAAATATCATATCTGTAAAAAACGCACACAGACAATTATTAGAATACAATTAGATTTATTTGAACAATAAACAGGAATTCCTGTAATATTGTACCATTTTTGAGGGCCTACCGGTTATATTCAGGAAGTATGGACACAAATGTTTATGTTTGTTCTATTAGAATACAACTGTAGCATTCCACATAATGCAATCTCATCACTTTGACTATATTAACAGCTTCCAGACCGCCCTATAGCAGAAATACTGTTACAGGGTGGCACGGGTGCACAAAATCATGTATATATATGTGATTTTGCATTTCCTGATAGGGGGCGTGCGAGTCCAAAGCAGTGTGATTACAGTAAAGCGCACTGACCCCCTAGTAAAACACTTCCAGCACACTGTTATCCCTTTTATCGCCCCTTGCCCAGTGCCATTAGTACTTTTTTTTAGCACTGATCACTGTATTGTGTTACTGGGGATGTCAGTGACACCAAGTCAGTTCCCCCCAGTGTCAAAATGTCCGCCGCAGTCCTGCTATAAGTCGCTGATCGCTGCCACTACTAGCAAAAAATAGAAAAAAAAAATCCCAGTATATATACCGCCATTTGTAAATGCTATAACTTTCATATAAACCAATTAATTTACATGTATTGTAGTAGAATGCATTTTAGTGTAAATGTATGACGAAATTTGATTTTTACATTTTTTTTACTGGACATGTTTGATAACAAAAAGTCCAAAATATTGTTTTTTCTCAAAATTGCCAGTCTTTTTTTTTTTTAGCGCAAAAAATAAAAAACCGCACAGGTGATCAAATACCACCGAAAGAAAGCTCAATTGCTGGGAAAAAAAGCACGTAAATTTTATTTGGGTGCAGCATTGCATGACCGCGCAATTGTCAGTTAAAGTAACAGCGCTGTAACACAAAAAATTACCTGGTCAGAAAGGGGGGGTAAATTCTCAGGAGGGCAAGTGAGTAAATACAGAAACTACTTGTACATAATTGCTATCAGCTACAACCCTTGCTTTCCACAGAGATCCAGCTAGGTCAGTGATCACTAGAAAGTGCTCCATATGCGATCTGAGAGATATAAATTCCGGCCAAAGTTGTTACAGCCTGGGACATCTGGCTCCCACATTTTTCCAAGGCTCAAGTGCAATGATATCTTTTAGAACACTTTACCAACATGACCCAAAAGTTGCTATGACAATAATCACTTATATTTGCAGTCACTATTAATGTTTTTATTACCTGGTTATTAGGACGGCAGTGTCATGGTCAGCTATGCCACTCTCTGTGATTGCATTACCATTCCGATTTACAATGGACTTTTGCCACCTGCAGAAGCTGTCAAGAGACTTTCCTGCATGGTGGTTAATTTCCAGATTAGGCTGCAGACAACAAAATTATTATAGTAATATCAACTAGGTTTATTGTGTCAAGGGTACTAAAACATCTTATTAGCATTGTTAAACATATTGAAGACTTATTGCAGTAAGCTATATCAACTAGTTAGACTTCATTTTGCACATAAAAAAAGCATTTGCTTTGTATTGACTTGTAAAATCATTATATGTTGGTGGTGTACTAGATCAGGATTTTGGTAGGTATTCAGATCCTCTGATGTTTTAGTTAAGAGGCTGCTCTCTAACCCCTGGTTCACATCTGTGTGGGTGGTGCCGCTTCGGGAGCTGCACAAATATCTGCAGCCGCACCACCCACACAGAGGAATGCGGGACCCGCAGGCGGATGCCATTCATTTTAATGGCACGCCGCCCGCACTGAAAATTGTAACCATACTGGGACCTCGGTTCCTGTGCGGGTTGCAATTTCCCAAGTAGTGCAGAGACTTATTCTCTGTGTGTCCCGGGGCACAGGAGTCTATTCAAATGAATGGACTCTCGTGCCTGCGCAAATCGCAGCCCACATGATCGCACAGATGTGCACCAGTGGTAAAATTGTATGGGACTGAAAAGGAGGTCATTGGATTGGCAACAGTAAGTTTAGTAGAGTGAAGAAAGCATGTGGCACATGGTTGAGAGTCCACAATTTTTTTTCATCCTGAGTGAAAAACCATAGCCAACTCATTTTGTGAGACTTAAGTGTTCCATCTTTATCCTGGCTTATACAGGTATGGGTTGGAGAACCCTAGTGTTGATTTCACTAGCATGGATTAAGGGCCTGTTCTGGTCACCGATTAGGCTGTCTTCTCTGGTCAGCGATTGGAAGCCTGCTCTAGCTGTCAGTCTGGTAGGCTGCTAGACCGGTAACCACAGCAGACCCTTAATCCGTGTTAGAGAAATCAACTTCAGCATACTCGCTCTTTGCCCAGTTTTCTTCCAACCCTCCCCAGCACAATCCCTGATGAAGGGGGATCAGTTACGCCTCTGAAACAAATTGCATTTTGTTTTTAGGCTCATGACAAATAAAAATTGAAATGGGCTCTCAACCATATGTCAAGGGCTCTCTTCACTCTGCCGGACTTACTGCTGTCAAATAATCCCCCTTATGTTACAACAAGAAGAAAACAAGGCTACATTATATGATATTCTTAGGAAAAAACATAGATGATAGATTGTTGCATCCATCGTACACAGTGCTATCTTTTACCAACTTGGGTCAATGTTTGCTTCCTGTGAAAAAGTTCTTTCCCTGTTTTTCCCCATTTCTCTAGTTTAAACAAACAGTTGATAAGTTAATTGCCTTTGGGGCTACACATCTAGAGTTTTATTTAAATGCACAAAAGTAAAAAAAATAAAAACTAATTCCTGACCAAGCACTGAAAAAGAACCTGTGACAAATAAGATATATACTGTACTTTATGCTGTGATAAACTATGATTTCAAATGTGAATATATTGCTAAAAATAAGAAACTGAATTTCTGACAATCAATAAAAAATAAACTCAGTGATTTAGTGTCTGCGTTATTACTATTTTTATTAACCTGATCTTCAGTCAAAAGGATTAGCCGAGTCACCATGATGTTCACAATGTTCCCCAGACTTGAGTCCTGGAAAAGTTTGGCAACCTGACCTCCAGGAAAGAAAAAAAGATCAGTCTTAATATCACTGACAAAATCCGAACAAATGGAACACAGAATGGTATTTCCTCTGTCCAAAAGATAAAAAAAGTAGCTTGCATAGGTTGTAATACTTACAATGTTCATAATAGCTAGGATATATTGCTCAATGTCCCTTCTTCCGTGATAACCAATCATCATTTTATCTGCAACCACCAAAGTCTCCACGTATCTCTCTGTGCTCACTGATCGTTTAAGTGGCAGAGGTCCACGCTGTGTGTGATTGGATGCTGGTCGTAAAGGTGGAGGCCTTGGGTTTCTCAGCCACCAATGACGGTCCTTCCAGGGCTTGTCATCTGGAGTAGAACAAACATTTATTCAGATCATTTCCTTGGTTACAAATGTCCCAATAATCTCACCTAGTATAAAACATTCTTATAAAATGAAAATATAAACAATGAGATTAAATTGATAGAAGATAAATAAAGGCCAAATCCATTCAATACTGTAACATTATTGTTGGGTGGATGCCAATATATTAAGGCATGGTCAAGCAGAAAGATAACATGGCATGGACTGCTGTTTGGTTGCTTTGAATTGCTGCACTTTGTACATAACACTGCTCTGAGCACTTCTTAATAAAGATAAACTATAGTGATTTTTAGTCATTTTTATATACTTTTTTAATGATTAAACATTTATAAACTTGTATTTTATATCACAAATTTTTATTGTTTGTGTATAGAGCGTACTTGTATCTTTAATTAGAAGGCCCAGCACTAACTTTTTGACTGTTCCTACAAACTGGAGATGTAGACTGCACTATCTGTACTAGGAGCTATATACTGTGAAAACCACATATTTCTTTGCCAGGGAGTGACAGGTCTTTGAATAAAGTCGTGTCTAAGTGAGAGAAATGCCCACTTAGACAGTGGCCACTGGTCTAACCACTCAATACTCTATCCAAAACTAAAGTCCAATATTTGGTCTTAGATACTCTTTAAGGTTTGCATTCAAAGCACAGCAGTAAACTATTATTCTAAATTACTGCATGTGCTGGTTGGAAACAGTAAATACAGTATCTAATTAAAATATGGAAGCACAATATACATTCAATAAACACAGTTTATGTGCCTATGAAATCAGTTTAAATCTTTCCTCCAGAATTGAGTTGTTTTGAAGCTAATAACGTGAAAATCACCCTAGAGTGTATGGCATAAGCATTATACGTAATGTATGATTTTTCAGTTATTCATAGCAAGCAATGTTTTTAAAATAGTACATAGATATTCTGGTTTTCAAAAAAGGTTAAAATTTTTACCTATTACACCACACGCCGCATCAAGATGCTGTCTTTGCAAGGAAGAGCGCTTGTACACCACATGTGGGGTCCCCTCACTGGTTTTGTTATAATTTCTACCTTGAGGTAGTGGTTCAATGAGATACTCATCATCCCCTGATACTATCACTCCGAGCTAGTTTGAAACAGAAAAAGATGTCATAGACAAAATAAGATGGCTATAGTAACTAAGTTTTAGCTCATGAATTTACAGACATACTGTATTCTTAAAATAAACCCAAGTATGGAAAAAAATACAATACACATAAATTGACCCAAAATTTATATTTAATTTTAGGGTGAATGCCACTGAATTTAATTATCAATCATCCCCTTATCAAAGAAACCCTGGTAACACGAGTCTGGTTTAGAGGAAATAGTTTTATACACATGCCCTGCTTAAATTGAGAGGGTCACATAGGGCTGGATTCCATATAACATTTACATTGCAC